AACTCAGGCCACAGAACTAGGCTGGGGAGTGATTTCAGTTAAACCGTTTCTCATCCACTTCCACACTTCTGCATCTGTTCCAGTGCCAGATCTGTGCCAGCAATGGGGGCACGTTACACATTCCCACTGAGAACACTTGGTGGAGATTGTAGGGATACACTATTTTTTCCTTTCACTAAGCCAGAATTGGCAGTGGAAGCTGTGTCTACAGAAGGTATTGAAACTATTGGCTGTGTTGGGCATAGAGGAAAGATGTATACCTAGAGCATTCCTCCTTCTCTCTCCTGTTCTTGCAGCGAAGTCACATTTGGTGAAAGGCCCTGGTTCCAATATGATATGTTCAATTAATGTCCTAAAAGGGCCCAGTCCTATTCAGTAGCTACTTTGTGGTTATCTACTGTCTCAAGGCTTAATCATTTTTAAAAATACGGAGTTCAACCTAAATTTGTTTCTGGGCGGTTTGTATCTTCATGATTCAGCCCCTAATGTTCTCCACCAGAAGACTGATTGTAATTTGTCTTTCCTTCAAAAGTCTCAGAGAATGACTGATCCTTTTTCTTCTCTGGGTGGTTTTCATCAGAGTAACCACATTCCTAGAGAAAACTCTGAAATAGTAGACACGTGGCAAGAAAATTAGCATGGATCTAAATTTCAAAATGTTAAGGCTGCCTTTGGAAGCTTCATAAAGGATAATGGCTTAAATGGGCATATCTGAAACAGTCATACATTTGTTGATGTTGTTGGTTGCCATTAAGTCAATTCCGACTGATAGCAACCCCGTGTGTGCAGAGTAGAACTGTGCTCCATAGGGTTTTCAAGGCTGTGCCCTTTTAGAAGCAGATTGCCAGGCCTGTCTTCCAAGCTACCTCTTGGTGGCTTCCAACTGCCAGCCTTGCAACTATTGTTGCTGTTAGGTGCTGTTGAGTCAGTTCCAACTCACAGCAACCCTATGTACAACAAACGAAACACCACCCGGTCCTGCGCCATCCTCATGATCGTTGTTATGCTGGAGCCCAATGTTGCAGCCACTGTGTTAATCCATCTCATTGAGGGTCGTCCTCTTTTTCGATGACCCTCTACTTTACCAAGCATGATGTCCTTCTCCAGGGACTGATCCCTTCTGATAACACATCCAAAGTATGTGAGACGCAGTTTCACCATCCTTGCTTCTAAGGAGCATTCTGGCTGTACTTCTTTTAAGATAGATTTGTTTATTCTTTTGGCAGTCCATGGTATATTCAGTACTTTTCACCAACACCATCATTCAAAGTTATCAATTCTTCTTCAGTCTTCCTTATTCATGGTCCAGCTTTCACATGCATATGAGGCAGTTGAAAACACCATGGCTTGAGTCAGGCTCACCTTGGTCTTCAAGGTGACATCTTTGCTTTTTAACATTTTAAAGAGGTTTTTGCAGCAGATTTGCCCAATGCAATGTGTCATTTGATTTATTGACTGCTGCTTCCATGGGTGTTGATTGTGGATCCAAGTAAAATGAAATCCTTGACAACTTCACTCTTTTCTCAGTTTATCATGATGTTGCTTACTGGTCCAGTTGTGAGGATTTTTGTTTTCTTTATGTTGAGGTGTAATCCATTCTGAAGGCTGTGGTCTTTGATCTTCACCAGTAAGTGCTTCAAATCCTCTTCACTTTCGGCAAGCAAGTTTGTGTCATCTGCATATCAAAGGTTGTTAATGAGTCTTCCTCCAATCCTGATGCCCTGTTCTTCTTCATATAGTCCAGCTTCTCTGATTATTTGCTCAGCATACAGACTGAATAAGTATGGTGAAAGAATGCAGGCCTGATGCACACCATTCCTGACTTTAAACCACGTAGTATCCTTGTTCTGTTCAAATGACTGCCTCTTGATCTATGTAGAGGTTCCTCATGAGCACAATTAAGTGTTCTGGAATTCCCATTCTTAGCGATGTTATCCACAATTTGTTATGATCCACACAGTTGAATACCTTTGCATAGTCAATAAAACACAGGTAAACATCTTCCTGGTATTCTCTGCTTTCAGCCAGGACTCATCTGATACCAGCAATGATATCCCCGGTTCCACGTCCTCTTCGGAATCCGGCTTGAATTTCTGGCAGTTCCCTGTCGATGTACTGCTGCAGCCGCTTTTGAATGATCTTAAGCAAAATTTTACTTGTGTGTGATATTAATGATATTGTTCCATAATTTCTGCATTCTGTTGGATCAGCTAGTAACAACAACAACAAAAACCATTGCCGTCGAGTCGATTCCCACTCATAGCAACCATTTAGGGCAGAGTAGAACTGCTCCATAGGGTTTCCAAGGAGTGGCTGGTGGATTCAAACTGCTGACCTTTTGGTTAGCAGCTAAGCTCTTAACCACTGTGCCACTGAGGCTCCAGATAAGCTTTAGGAATGATTAACTCTTGACTTTAACATTATATCAGAGATTGGTATAGAGAGTAGGGCTTTTGTAATTTAAGCTCTTCTTATGTTGTTTGCCCAGGTCCTGAATGGTCTCTTGGAAGTAGGACAGGTGGCAGCCATCAGGCTTAGGACTATGTCTAATGAATGATTGTCACCATATCTCAGTCTCAACCATTTAATGGATGTTCTTATAGGCATGGCTTGGGGCAAGGAAGCATGGGCTCCTGGTAGCTTGGTAGGGAATTGTGGTGAAAGCTATGATGCAAGATCCCCCTTCAAGAAAGAAAGACTTCCTCCCCCAGCTGCTGGGAGTGCTGCTAGCAGAAAGCCACCTGCTCAGCTGTAGGTCTCTTAAGGGGATTGCCTCATCTGAGGAGAGCCACCTTGCTCAAGGTGACTGAGCTGGCCTGCATGTAATGACTGATTAATGTGGGGTATAAAGGCCTGTCCTCCTAGCTCCAGCTCAGGACAACTCTGAAGCATCACGCTAGCTTCAGATCTCCCCCTATAGGTTAGCCTGAGGCCTTCACTGAGATTGTATTCTAGCTCAACCACTCACTCTGCCCAGTCCTGCCTGCCTTCCTTCCTTGCCTTCCACAGGTGTTGATTCCAAGAGCACTTCCTAATAAACCTCCTGCCTGCTAAGCATCAGATTGGGAAACCCAATCTGTGACAGAAATTTTATGAGCAATTTACCTGTTCAGTAGAAAATATAGTGTAGACTTTTTCTGCCGTAACTGAAGATGGGCTTTTTCATGTCAAGAGAGAGGAGTGGGAGTGCTGTATAAACTAAGAAGCAAGGATAGGAGAACAAGGTTGGATTGTTTCCCCTCTTTATATCTGCATTTGGGATTTGGGGTGACACCCTGTTTCTCTCTGTGACTGTTAGAAACAGTCATTTGAAGTCTTCATTCAAACACTCTAAGAGTAGGTGAAATGGGGAGAGAAAGGAGGGAAAGAACCCAAGAAATGATTTTAAATTGGATACTTAATTTCTTTGTGCTTTGCATTAGGACTCCTTGTGTTCTTGTCCTCGCCCTTACAGCAATTCTAGATAGAGTCCTTTCTTAAGCCCATCTCTTTATCTCCCCAGTACCATTGTGGCAGCAAGCAGGAAATACTGAAGAAAGCAATGAATGCATGGGCAGTGGTGTAGGCCAGATTCCTATCAGGGGACTGATGAACAGCAGCCTTGCTTCTAAAGGTATTGTTACTCTTCCTGAGAGAGCTTAGCCTAAGGGGAGCGAGGGAGAATATTTTTGACTGCCCCAGCCCAGACTGTGAGGAGGAGCAGTTTACAAAGGAAGTTTACAATGGAGTAGAAGCCAGGGTGAAAATTTAGTGATATCCAGAAAGAGGGGAAAACTCTGGGGGGGCCGGGGTCGGGAAGGGGAGTAGGTACCCAAGAACCACATGATATAGCTAGCTTCTTTCTGTTCTCCCTTGGATCGTGGGGGAATTTGTGTGTTGAAGGAATGCTTCCTCTGCAAGGCATTCCATCCCTTGGCATGAACGCGATGACCCTCCAAAAGATGCGTAGACACTAACAGTCTTCTTCTGAAGGCGGGGTCGCCATCCAACGCAGCCTTCAGAGTGCTTGTGACGGGGGAGGGAGAAGGAGAGGAGTGTACTACAGAAGCATGAGGTCTCTCCTTAACTCTCTGCAAGCAAATTAGATTGGGTGGCCCTTGGCTATGGGATCCCATACTATTTCGGGAGGAGCGTCCGTCCTCAAGTTTTGTTCAGGGATGTGTTAAAATGTGTTCCCGAAATGCTAAAGGCTAATTGCGGTGCTACTAATTAACACCCTCGCTATACAGCCCTTCATGGCCCGGCCAGGGGTGTGTGCCGCGAGGGGAAGAGAAGCTGCGGCACTGGAAGGCGGCCTGGGAAAGGGGTGTAGAAAGAACGAGGCCTCCAGTCAGCGGGAGAGAGGGGAGGGCGCCGAGGCGTGGCGCCAGCTGCCGAGCAGAGGAGCCCCGGGTCGGTGGGCAGAGCCGAGCGGCGGGCACGTTCGGGGAGCGGCGGGCGGGGCTGAGGGCGCAGTGGGACCGGAGCGCCGGTGGCTGCGGAGCGAGGGGCACCTGAGGAGGAAGGAGGGGAGTGAGGGAGGGAGGCAGATCGGCGCGGACTGAAAGTGGGAAAGCTGGTGCCGGCAGGCAGCCAGGCGGGGCGCCCTCGCCCGGGGCTGAGGGCGCAGGAGCCCAGCGAGGTCGAGCTGGGCGGCGGCGCGGACCGACCTGAGGGAGGAGGAGAAGGCGGAGGCGCGGGGAGCGTGTTTGGGGCGCCGCAGCGGGGAGGGTGGCGGCCGCCGGTGCGCGCGGGGCGCTGTGTGTGCGCGCTCCCCCGCTCGAGGAAGAAGATGGCCCAGAAGGGAAAGTTGGGGTGACGCGCGGGGCCCCCGGAGGCTCGGCTGGGGGCGCCGCGGTGAGCCCGACGGAGCAGCAGCCACACAGGCCGGGGGGCGCGCAGTTCGGGCGCCTCAGCCGCGGCCGCCCCGGAGCTCGCCCCCTCACTGCAGGTGGCAGCGGCTTCGCTCGGTCCGGGCGGCCGGGGGCGCGGGCGGGCGCGCGGGGGAGCCCGGCCGAGGGATGGGCTGCGCCCCCAGCATTCACGTCTCGCAGAGCGGCGTGATCTACTGCCGGGACTCGGACGAGTCCAACTCGCCCCGCCAGACCACCAGCGTGTCGCAGGGCCCCGCGGCGCCCCTGCACGGCCTCTTCGTCCAGACCGACGCCACCGACGCCGTCCCCCCGAGCCGCGCGGCGGGACCCCCCGGCGCCGCCCGCGTCCACAGGGCCCGCGCCGAGCTGGGCAGCGGCAGCAGCACGGGCTCCGCAGCCCCCGCCGCGACCACCTGCAGGGGCCGGAGGCGTCACTGCTGCAGCAGCGCCGAGGCCGAGACTCAGACCAGCTACTCTAGCGTCAAGGTAAATGCCGAGCGCCCGCACGGGCTGGTGGGGGGCCTCCCACCCTGTCGCGGCCGGGCTCTCCCGGGCTGGGGGCTCCAGCAGAGTTGAGTAGCCGTTACGTGGTTGGTTTGGGGAGGTTGTCATTAAGGAGGAGTTTACTTTTCATTTGTGGGGGTGGTGAGGGCCCAGGAAATGTGAGCAGAAAAAGACCCTCAGAGGGAGGCTGGGAGCGACCTAAACTGGCTCTGGGGGACCAGGTGGAGAAGGGAGCTCAGAAAAAAGCAGCTCGGCTGGCCCGTTTCTCATTGAGAGGAGGACGGCTGTGGCTGGGTTTATGCAGGAGGGGCGGGGGTGTCATTGAGGGCATTCCACGGCTAGTCGGGTTGAATGAAATCTGAGCTCCGGGCTGGATTTGCATGCCTTACAGGTGAACGGTGCAGTACTGGTGCAAAGATCGGATGGTGCCCTGTATTCAGATTTTTGCCTGGGAAAACCAGCCAGGCTGCATGGAGTCTCAGCCACAGCACTGAGCGTGAGCATTTGTGAAGGAGTGCGGTGCTTGTATATGTTTTGCGGAGAGGTGTAGGAAGGAGATGGAGGAAGAGGACCAGAGTGAAACCTGTTGTTTGTCACTTTAGCTTTTCCTGAGCTGGCTGGGTTCTAGACATAACTGAGAGAACTGGGCCGTGAATTTGAAGGGTCAGCCGAACTTCAGTGAGATAGAGTGGTTCCCAGTCTAGTGCAGGTGTCTGAAGATGAAGATTCTGCACATACTTTTCTGACCTTTCAGGGGACTGGGAATTGGAGAAAACGGAAAAAAAAAATTTTTTTTTTTTTTTTAACGATTAAAACGTTCACTAATTATTTCTCAATGACAGAAGGAAAATGATTCTTTTCACAGAGAACAGTGTGTTCTCAAATTACTAACTGTTAAATTCAAGAGGGTTTTCATTGTGTAAATCTGGGCACTGGGCTTTTTTTTTCCTTATAGCAAACAGAATAACAATAGCACACCTCATTGTGTGGAGGAAAAAAAATGCATTTCCACAGCACTCAATGTTTGATAGAATCACTGATTTTACATGGTCAGTAGATTACTAGGAACCATTGCATTGATTCTTTGGCAAAGACACAGTTGTATATACAATAGTTGAGAAAGTCGTTCAGCAGTTGGCCTAGTGTGAGGAAGGTTCTTGGTCTTCATTGGATGAAATCAGCGCTGGGGGGGAGGAGGGGGTGTAGTTAAAGGATGGCCTGGGCTGACTTCAGTCTTGAAGACCAAAAGCTTCTTATACTGAACTTAAAAATTTTAAACAACATCTGATTTTCAACATGAAGCTTGCCTGATGTTTATTTGTAGTTGCAGTGTTTCTCTGGTAATAATTATAGTCATCATTATAATAAATAATACCATTTGCTGGGCATCTACTATGTGCCAGGCCTGAGCTTTCTCTTCTAGCTATTGATTGTTAAGGGTGTGATGTTAGGATAGAATAGCCAAAGCACAGAAAGCTGGATTGGTGAGAGTTGTTAGTTGCCTTTGAGTCGTCTCTGATTCATGGCGACCTTATGTTGCTCGGTCCTGAGCCATCTTCATGGTCATTGGTAGGTTTAAGTTCATACCAACTGGTATGTTTCAGCTATTATGTCATTTCCTGGAGGGTTTCTCTCATTTTCGTTGACCCTCTACTTTACCAACCATGATGTCCTCAACCTACCATTCACACATTTGTTGCAGAGGCATATGCCAAACACGATATTATTACTTTGCCAAGTCCCCAATTAATATAAAATTAGCATTAGGAGCAATTTCAGGGGGTGAAAATAATTGTATATGATGAAATAATTAAATTTGGATGTTATCAATAAAGACTATTCTTTTGTGTTCTTGTTGAAAAAGAAAATTAAAGCATGAGGTAGTAGTTCAGAATGGTTACAGCTCATGAACTCTGTTACGTTTTTTTGGTTCGTCAAGAGATTTTTGTATTCCCTTTCAGAGTAGCAAGGACCCTAATTTAGTACCTGGCAATTGTAGCTACTGCGTTTGTCCAGTGAAAGAAAGAATAATGAATGAACCTATTCTCTATGTTTTAAGACTTCTCTCAAGAGGCTACTTAGAGACCAAACAGAGTTAAAACTGGAGGGAAAATGAGTTCCAATTATTAGCAACTATTATAAACTTTGTATAAATCTCTTTGCTAGTTGGCTTAAGTGTTAAAAGGCTTGACCTGGGTAGAAATTTCAGTCACTTTGCTTTATCAACAAGGTTCCCAAATAAGAACTTAATTCATTCCAACTTATTACTGTTGTTGTTAGGTGCCATCGAGTTGATTCTGACTCATAGTGACCCTATAGGACAGAGTAGAACTGCCCCAGAGGGTGTCCGAGGAGCGGCTGGTGGATTTGAACTGCCAACTTTTTGGTTAGCAGCCGTAGCTCTTAACCAGTACGTCGCCAGGGCTCCAACTCATTACTAGGTATATTGAAAGTAAAACTGTTGGTTCAGTGATTTAACACTAATTTGCACTGGGTAGATCTCAGAAACTATACATTTGAAATTAAATTTGAGGCCAGAAATATTTACACAAATCATACAGAATTATTGGCACAAAATTTCTTTAAATATATCTAATAGTAGCCTTTGAGGACCTGTGACTCTGTCATGTTATCTTTTCGAATCTTAAAGTTCGCATATTCTTTACTCTTTTGTAGATGAGACAGTTTTATAAAAACTTCACTTTCATTTCTTTTTAGAGTAAGAATTCTTCTACCTTAAGAGTTTTGAGACAGTTGCTAGCCACTCCCCTTCCACCTTCATTTCCGAAATACTCAGCTTCGAAAGCAAAGTCTTTGCCATTTGGTCCTGTTTACAGTGGTAGTGTATTGTAATAATTTTCCCCCCTCTTTGTACATTAATTATAAACTGTATTCTCATTATCCACTTGGTGTCTGGTATTCCCCAGGGTGCAAAAATGTGTGCTTGATCTCTTTTTTTCTAGCAATAATTCATCTCACTAAGCTTTTAGAATGATGAAGCATTATGATGTCAAACATGATGTCAACAGGAACCTTCCTGCATACCTAATTTGCAAAAAAGGATTATAAATATTAATAATTCATATGCAGTACAGTGATATCATATGGGTTTCCATTTCTGGTAAGAAGTTCAGATTTGTCTCCCAATTGCTGTAAAAATGCAGCTTCCTAGCAATTTGTCTCCCTCTTGCTTGCCTTTTTATAAATAGTACTTCAAGAAGAAAATCCTACAGAATGCTCACTCCTGATACTGTGCCAGTTTTGTAATTCTTGTTCAGAAATCCTCAGAGAAGATGTTGAACTTCTCTCTGGGAAGAATCAAGGATTCTTACAAGTCTTCTTTTCTCATAGCAGCTGTGGCTGCTTGGAAGGCATCCGAGACTAGGGAGCCGGGTAGTTGTAGAGAAGAGTCTCTGTTGACAGTACAGGCAACTTGCCGCTCCTTCTGTGTAGGTTCACTACTTTGTGGATCAGGCACAGGAGGTTGTTATTCCCCAAATGATTTTGTGCTGATAGGCAGCATCACTAATTCACCCTTTCTCCTTCATTCATTGTTCTTATTTATTCACTCAGCCAATATTTGTGTCAGACACTGTTGTAGGTGTTAGGGATCAGGGAATATTCATGAAATTTGGTAAGCAAAGCCTAATGAAGAGAGTAATCTTTTGTAAAAGGATGTGCCTAAACCAATTAAAAATGACTTCTACATTATCTGTACTGTGGCTTTCCAGAATCAGTGAAGATAACCCAGAGTTGACGATATAAAGGGAAAATAAATGGATATTTTCCAACCTTATGGTAAATGATTAATGAGATTACATTTGGGGGAGGGAGTGGTGCAGTTTCAGGAAAAGTCATTTTTGTTTGTTGTCTGTCTTAGTTATCTAGTGCTACTATAAAGAAATACCACAAGAGGATGGCTTTAACAAACAGAAATTTATTTTCTCACAGTTTAGGAGGCTAGAAGTCTGAATTCAGAGCTCCAGCTTTAGGGGAAGGCTTTCTGTCTCTGTTGGCTCTGGAGGAAGGTCCTTCTCTCTTAAGCTTCCGCTTCCTGGTTCCTTGGAGATCTCCATGTGTCTTGGCATCTATTTTACCCTCTGTCTGCTCTGCTTGTTTGTTTAATTTCTTTTATATCTCGAAAGAGATTAACTCAAGACACACCCTACACTAATCCTGCCTCATTAACGTAACAGAGACAATCCATTCTCAAATGAATTTATAACCATAGGCGTAGAGGTTAGGATTTACAAGACATAATTTGGGAGAACATAATTCAATCCATAACATTCCACCCTTTCGTCCCCAAATTTCATGTCCTTGCCACATGCAAAACACATTCACCCCATCACATCATCCCAAAAGTCTTAAATCAACTCCATAATTCAATCCATAACATTGTCTAAATTGGTTCTTCTCAAATTTTAGTGTGCATCAGAATCATCTGGAGGACTTGTTAAAGATTCCTGTGCCCCACCCCTGGAGTCTTTAATTTAGTAGGTCTTGAGTGGGCCCTGAGAATTTAGATTTCTAACAAGCTGCCAGAAGATGCTGGTGCTGTTGATCTGGGGACCGCACTTTGAGAACCACTACTTTATCTGAATTAAATTGACTTGCCTGTTTATCAGATGAATTAGGTGGGGCCACTACTAGCGTTGCATGTATTTGGAATACTAATCATACCTCTAAAGGAGCACTGGTGGTGCAATGGTTTAGTGCTCAGCTGCTAGACACAAGGTTGGTAGTTTGAACCTACCAGCAGTTCTGCTGGAGAAAAGACCTGGTGATCTGCTCCCATAAAAATTACAGCCTAGGAAACACTTTGAGGGCCATTTTACTCTGTCATAGAGGGTCGCTATGAGTGAGAATCGATTCTACTGCACACGACAGCAATTATACCTCTGCCTCCATCTTAGTTCTTCTTTTATAGGGGAAACCTACCATCTCCATTCATGAAATCAAATTCTGAGCCTCCAAGTTTG